CACACACACACACACACACACACACACACACACACACACACACACACACACACACACACTTGTATGTCCATCCTAATACACTTTTTGCATACAGACTTTGCTGTGTGAGTAGATAGGATGGCTTCCAAACATACAGGTACTCCATCATATATTGCTACAACTTGTTGATGGTCATTGCAGAATGTCTTTTGGAGCTTTTGAAACTTTTAGAGAAATCACAGAGTACTTTTGGATTTGATGTTTTTCAGATTTTAGTATTGGAATGGAGCTAGTGTCAAAAGATCTCTGTTCTTTTTCAGAACACATAGTGACCAACATATCGTTAGAAAGTGATAATTAAAGTATTTTTGTTTTTTCATTAGATCATTTTAAAGACATCCTTTTTTGTCTCTTTTGTTTTTTCTATTATGGGACCAAATCCTAAGGGGACTCGTTGGATCTCTACTAGAATATTATTATAACATTTTGTAGAGGATTAAATCTTTCTTAAAACCCATTGTGAATACAGTGCATTAGACACCACAAACAGTTTTTTTCAGGCACAGTTTTGTAAAAGCAGCTAAATCAGCTTGAATAACCACACCTAAGAAATTTTCCAGTTGGATGTCGAAAAATGCTGAGTCATGTGGCCTGTCAGTGAGATCAGCTGATCTGACGGGAATGCTGCCAGACTTGACTTTATGGCCCACCTGAAATAATGCAATGCTCAGTTTTGGAGCCTATCACAGCTACAATAGGGTGGGAACCAGGGTACACCCTGGACAGGTTGCCAAGCTGATGCAAGGCTAACACAGAGAGACAGACAACCATTCACGCTCACATTCACACCTATGGGGAAGAAAGCAGTTAACATAATCCCACTAACTGCATTTCTGTCCAACCTTGAGGGACAGAAAAAAGGAACTACAGCAAGTATACATGTGTGCTTAAATTTAAATTTTATGTCTTCTTGTGCAACGGGGACTGAGCTCACAACGTGATGCTATGTCACATTATTTCTAACTGTCCTTGTGTGTGCATGGTTCTCTGTGCAGGCTGGAGTTTCAGCATGGGATCAGCCTACCAGTTCCACAGCTGGCGAGTGTTTGTGGTGGTGTGTGCGCTGCCCTGTGTCTCTGCTGTGGTAGCTCTCACTTTTATGCCTGAAAGCCCCCGTTTCTACCTGGAGGTAAAGGAGATGTTTAGTATATGAACTGTTCCTGCTTGCTTGCAACTTGTTCATTCTTCTTTGCCATAAAGCTCAATTAAAATCACATTAGTGAGCCACACTGATGGACTGGGTAACATGCCTTCTTCATTATAAAGAAAAGACACTCTTACAGAGAACCATTAGCCTTATTATTTAAAGAAAAGAATAATTATGATTCTTGTGGATATCAGACAAAATCAGACAGTAGTGAAAAACAATCTTGATGTCACTTTTTAAGTCAACTTTTTTCTGATTGGCTGCCCACTAAGATATATCTTAAACTACAGGTAGGTGAGCTTTAGCGCCCTATTAGGCAAGAGATGAATTTAGTTAAAACTCAAAATCACAGTAATTGCAGTGAGCATTAAATGCTTCCCACTTTTAGACTTTTATACCACCTTGGAGGACTAAAAGTCTAAAAGAGCCTCTGTCAGAGCCTGTTGTCCAACTAGTATGATGTGAAGTGTTGTTCATTACATTGACCACTTTGTGGCGCTTCCCTCTCTACACAACACATGTATGGACCTCAGAGTATTCCCCATGGAGCTCAGCCAGCCTTTATCAGTTTTTTCAGTTTCTTAGAGTCACTCTCTCTGATGCTGCCTCCCTAACAAATAGCTGCAAAGAAAAAATAAATCACTGGCACACAATGAAGCTTTTTTTTTCTCACAAAGTGGATACCATCTGTTAGATGCCCTTGCATGAAACTGAAGTTTATGTACAATAATTGCTTTATATTATCCTTTTATCAAAAAGAACAAATTAAATGAAACAAAATCGTTCTCCTCGGAGAAGAGCAAAAAGCTTATTTTCAGCCTGCTCTTCTTAATAAGCTTATTAGGACAGCAGTGTGGAGATTCTGATGCTGGGGTTGGGGCATAGAGGTGAAGGTCACTGTGCAACACATGAAATAGACTTTACACACAGATATATAAATCGCATACATGTGCTATTTATTGTTTTAATAAAAACAGACATTCAGTGCCCACTTCACTGTGTATGTGGAGTGTTAATATTGAAATCCAGCATATATATCCAAATTATGTTAACTATTCCCCAGATGGGTAAACATGACGAGGCCTGGATGGTGCTCAAACACATCCATGACACGAACATGCGTGCCCGCGGAGAGCCAGAGAGAGTCTTCACTGTGAGTACACCCCAGGCTTTGCTCTTCATCATTCCTGCTGCTGCAAAGCCATTGGCAGATGACTGATCAGTGTCTCCCCCTGCAGGTGAACAGGATAAAAATCCCCAAACAGCTGGATGAGCTGGTAGAGATGCAGAATGAGTCAGCCAACCCTGTACTCAAGGTCCTCTTCAAGATCAGGGCTGAACTTAGAGGAGTAGGAGACTCTTTATGTCCTGTTTGTTAACCTTCACTTTTTTTGCTGCACTTTCTTTTATAGTCAATATTTATGGTTGCTATGAATAAAATTCACCAATTCACCTTTTTCTTTTATATCAGATCTGGTTGACATTCATGAAATGTTTCAACCACCCAGTGAAAGAAAACACTATGAAGCTGGCTGCAGTCTGGTTTACTTTGTCCTTTGGGTAAGAAAGTTATTACACATCCCATATAGTTCTACTTCTACACTTTGAATGTGTTGTTACTGTTGGCTTTGATCATGTTCAGATATGCTGTTTTTTGCTCTGGATGATGCATAGCTAATATAAATTTCTGTAATGCGCTTGGCACCAAAGTAGATGTTCTCTCACTTATATCTGCCTGATGAGCCGTGGTCAGTTAGGTTACATTTAATTTGTGTCTTTTATTGCTTTTATTTTACATCATATTTATGACAGTTTTCCTGTTACAAGCTTTCTATGATTGACTGGATTTTTTCCATTTGACACCCCAAGTCAAATACAATGTTTTGTTTTGGTTTTTTTTTAAAAAAAAAAAACTGGTATTCAATTACACCTCATACTCTACCTCTGCAAGAAAACATCAACATCAGGGCAATGGCTTTGAACTTGTGCTCAGTTAACGCTGCACTGTCCTAATGACTTTGTGGCAATTTAGACAAAGCAGTATAATTTAAACAAAGACAGTTTCATGTCTTTTACCTTCCACCTAACCATCTGCATATATGTACACCCAGATAAATATTTCTCAGCAGATGTTGTGCAGTAGTGTTGCATCTGACTCATGTTCTTTTAATATAGATCCTTATGGAAAGACTAAAGCAACTCAAAGAAAGATGTTAGCAAAGAAAATAAAGAAAAAGACAGGAGCACTGGGAACCTGGCTGTACGGTAAAGACAGAAGCAAAGGAAAAAAAGCATATATTGAGTTGTAGGTGAGTCTGGGCACTAAGGAAGGAGAAACTAACGCGTATCGATTGGCTAGACAGCGAGATAGAGCCAGAAAGGATGTGCAGCAGGTCAGGGTGATTAAAGATTGAGATCGAAATGTGCTAGCAAGTATAAAAAAGTGTGTTAAGAAGATGGCAGAAGTACTATGAAGAGCTTATGACTGAAGAAAATGAGAAAGAGAAAGACAAGTGGAGATGGAGTAAAGATGGTGAATCAGCAAGTGTGGAGGATTAATAAGAAGAAAGTGTGGTCATCTATGACAAGGGTGCGGAGTGGAAAAGCTGTTGGTCCAGACGGGATACCTGAGAAGGTATGGAGATGAGAGAGGGCAGTGGATCTTTTAACCAGTTTGTTTAACGCAATTCTGCAGAATAAGATGATGGAGAATAGAGAAAGTGACTATTACTAGAGGTTATTAAAAATGACCATATGTAACGCAATTTAATACAGAATCTTTTGCTGTGTTCAGGTACTACGGGCTGTCTGTGTGGTTCCCAGATGTCATCAAGCACCTTCAAGCTGACGAGTACGCCTCCAGAGTGAAGATTCATAACAATGAACGCATTGAAGACTTCACTTTCAATTTCACCCTGGAGAACCAGATCCACAGAAATGGGGTCTTTGTAAATGACAGGTACGCCAGGCTTGGTGCACAAACTGACTTCTATTTGAATACTTTCCAGTGATCTTCAGCTTTCTCAGACACCGATATCAAGAGTGGGAGAAATTATTAAAACTAGCTACAGTGTAACACATTGTGATCTAAACCTGTAAGCCTCTTTTAGCACAATGTTGAGTTTAAAGCTGCTTGTCCTGTTGTGGGATAGCAGTACTATTTGTCATTCCCGCAAACAACACACCACTGCAGGTAATATAAATCTTTCCTCTTTCTCGTCTGCCACCAGGAAATTAAAAAGCTTATCTCTCTTCCTTATTCTTTCTTACGGTCTCTCTTTCACCCATATACACACATCTGGTCCTCCTCCTCCTCCTGGTTACAATTCTCACAAACAGAGCCGAGCAAAGACACATTGATATGCTGTTTTTGTTCTTTTTGCCTTCTCACTGGAGACCAGAATGCATTTATTATAAGAGATTAAATCAAAAACAGTACCATGTACTGTGTATCGTGGTGTGAAATAGCACACATAGATAACTGACTGCTAAGGCCAGACATCCTGAAGGGAGGAGATGCTGGTGGTTTTCAAACTGTGGGACATATACCATTGGTGGGGAACAGATCCAGTGCAGATGGGGTGCAACTGACCATGGAAAAATATGGAGTGGAACTGAGCAGAATAAATATGTTTTTTGAAGAGAAAATAAACAAAAAAACAGTTTCCTGATGCTGTCATGCTGACCAGTACTTTGATAAAATTCAACTTGGATTATTTTTCCTGTTCCTGAATGATAAAAAAAAAAATGTGGAGAACGGAGGGTGAACTGAAGTGGGAAATTCCTGGTTCTGCTGGAGGACAGTGACCTTTTTTGTTTTTGTAATTTTCCCTCTTTTAGCACCACAGTGAATCTTAAATCAAGCTGGAAAGCTGGCTTTCAACTTTAATTTGAAAGCCAGCACTTTCAAGCCAGCAGTTAATGCAATACAAAAGTATTGCATTAACTGTTGAATTGTTGTAGAATTACAGCTATTTGTATCCATAGTTCCCCAGTTTGAGACACTCAAACGGAAGTGGACAGTATTATTATTATATTAGTATTAGTATTATAAAGAATATCATACATTCTGGTTTTAAGTGCTTTATCTTTTCAGTTACAGATGTCCTCAATGCCTAATTAATTCAGTAAAAAGTGAAAGGCCTTGTATCTCCAAAAATAAAAAAAATATTAGTAGAAATATTTCACATTTCTGCTGAGGTTTTATATTAGGTTAAATGCAGCTATTCACTTCCATCTAGCAGCCTTTGTTACATCTAATTTTTAATATTCCATCTTAAGAAGTTTGAAATTGGACCGTTTGGTTTGCATTCAGATATTCATCCCTGCCTTTGTTGTCTGTGCAGACACTGAAATAGTGACTCTGCATTTCACTTTCCCTGGTTTGAAGGAAAATGATCTGCCATCACCCCAATTGTCAATAATATGTGTTGCATATCACTGTCCGTAGGTGCTTCTTTCTTGCAATAACTCCTTCCTTGTCCACTTCCTATTTATATTTTTATTTTTTTAGGTTCATCAGTATGAGGTTTAAGGCAGTCACGTTCATCGACTCATCTTTTCTCAACTGCTACTTTGAAGATGTCTCCTCAGTAGGATCCTTTTTCAGGAACTGTACCTTTGTAGACTCCTTCTTTTACAACACAGGTAAACCACGTCTGTAAAATGCACACTTATTCAGGGCACTTCTCTTCTGCCTCTCCAGAACAAAGGTACTTCCCTCCAACCCAGAAAATCCTATTAGGCTCTTGTTGCCATATACATAAGTCTCACTCAGGCTCCCCGCCTCTGTCTGGCAGTTCATTATGGATCCAAACTTCTTGCTCAGAGAAGAAAGAATGGTTTTGAGCATTTTATACCTCTGCTTTATGCCTCTAAATTACTGCTTAACCTCTGTGCCCCCTGCACAGATTGCCTCTCTGAACTAACTGTGACTTTATTTAACAACAAAAAAGTGGGCCAAGCTGTGCTTCGGAGGACTGAAAATGGCAGTTTGTAACCACATGATGACTCCTGCAGAGATACATTTTCTTATGTGATTGTTCAGTCAGACAGTTATTTAGAAATATATCTCTGTGCATGTGGATTTTTCTTTACTAAGGTGGTCTTGCTGATTACTGTTTTCTTTTTCAGAAACAAATTTAAAATTGCAGCAGCACCAAAAGTGTCAAACTGTACTGGTAATAAATCTAAGTTATGAAAGTGTAATCCAGTTATTTTAAGGCCGACAAAGAAACAAGTTGAACCAAAAGGCAAAAGCAGGAGAGTTGTTTTAAATGGTCTGAGAGAACTGGAGCTGAATCAGACCTTGAGGGAGCACATGGTAGAAAATCAGTTCCCTTCAGCACTCAGGAAAGCGCTGAATATAGCAACAGCATGGGCATGTCGGGTTCGCCAGTAATGCTCCATGAGATGTGAAATCTTTTTGCAATTGGAAATGTGTCTCTGGAGAGCAGAATTTCACGTGTTGTGTGTTTGAAAGATGCTCTTCTGCATACCTTGGATTTAACGAGTGATTATTTGAGTTACTCCCCCCTTCCTGTCACCTTGAGATCGTCTAGCCACTCTCCTCTGGCATCAACAAAGTGTTTCTGTCCAGAGAACTGCCACACAATGGATATTTTACTCAAACAGCATGAACCAGCATCGTAGTTGTTCATATTTGTGCTGTTGTCTGTCTTTTAGTCTTTAGTCCTTTATCCTGCAGAGAAGACAAACAAAGAACTCTGGTAGTACTGCAGTACTTTGGCAATGTTAAATGGACTGTGGTGTCATTTCCTATCCTGTCCAAGCAAACTTTTTAGGCAGTCAGTATTCTAATGATGCATAGCATCATAGCCATCAAGCTAAGTGCTGTTAGCTTTTTAGAGGACTATATGTAAAGGGTTGTTCAAACAGGAAGAAGCTAACAGTTATTTAGCAACTTATAAAGACATCATGGAATGTCAGTGAAATTCAAAAATTTGCAATTAGCAAATTAGATTAGCAATGACAGGCAAATTAACTGTTAGCCACATATACCAGGCAAATCCCAAATTATAGTTTTTTCAGCTAGCAGGCAAAAACATGCTACAGTAAGGAGCTAGTTAGTTTAAACTGACATGACTGGAGTAAGAATGGCTTTGATCAAATGTGCCTATCAATACATCTGAAGCTAACAAATAGCTAACTAATTAATGAATCGTGTCTTGTTTGTTACACTCATAATCTTTTTTTTAACTTTCTTGTGTTCTTGGGTCATTTTTATGTTTACCCTTTTTGTCAGCTCCATGTTAACATTTATCTGTCTGCTTCTTCACGTCTTGCATCTGGTCTTAGGATATACATTGTTCACTTTTTTCAATTAGTTGTATTTTATGTAGTTCTGAGCCCAAGAGTCATGATCAGATTTGAGATTAAAGCTCATTCTTGTCTCGATATAACAAAGAAAACACTTTGTGTTTTTTTTGTGAAGAAAACACTTTGTGTTTTTTTGTGCTTTTGAACATACTCTTAGGTGTTGGTTTCCATGTTACAATGCATAATGTCTTGTCTGCCACCGTTCGAGTTAATAGCAAGTGGTAGTAGAAGGTGACAGTCAGATACAAACTTTTAATCCCGAGTCAACATGTAAAACCTTTCTTTTTATCTTCTACATTTACAGATATTGATGACACCAAGCTGACAAATTCAAGGGTGATCAACAGCTCTTTTCACCACAACAAGACAGGCTGTCAGATGACATTTGATGACGATTACAGTGCCTACTGGGTCTATTTTGTCAACTTCCTGGGAACGTTGGCTGTGCTTCCTGGAAACATTGTCTCTGCTCTCCTCATGGACAAAATAGGACGCCTAAGCATGTTAGGTAGGATTTCCTTTCGATGTGGGATATGAATAGCAATTTTTCCCCTTGTTGTTCTAGTGTCATGTGCAGTTGGCTTTTGTGCCTGCAGTGACCTCTAGTGACGTGAATGAAGTTATTTCAAGTTTAAGGTGTAAAGCTCATGCTGTGCACTGCAGGAGGTTCCATGGTGCTATCAGGCATCAGCTGCTTCTTCCTTTGGTTTGGCACCAGCGAGTCAATGATGATCTTCATGCTCTGCCTCTACAACGGCCTCAGTATCTCCGCCTGGAACTCCCTGGATGTGGTCACCACTGAACTGTACCCAACAGACAGGAGGTGAGTGGTGCACTTACTGCATATACTAACTTAGAATACAGGAAATAGTGTGGCTCTGTGATTTATCACTGAGCAAACCAATATGTGGGCAAAATTTTGTCGTGTCAGTTCCCCCATATGAAAGAAAGATAAAGAAGAACACGTCTTTATTATTTCTTGTTTTTCAAGACTTTTCAAGAACTAGTCTTGCAGAGGCCTAAGGCCAAGAAACATTACAACAACAAAACAAAAAATCAAGTTTTTCCTCATGCTAGGAAGTTTTGCTTTGATCTTTGAATAAAACTAAGCAGTGCTGTGCTATAGCACTGCTTCAAAGTTGGGAAGTTTTGGGAGTGATAAATAATTTCAAATTTACTTTGATAAGTAGCAACCTCAAACCTTTTATTAGTGAAACACTGAGGACATTCACAGCCAAAGTCTGACCCATTCACAGACTGTAATGTCACTTCACAGTACTGGAAGTTTTTTTTTTTTGTCACGACAGTGGACTGTTTAATTCTAGACACAGGTTGGAGGTGCAAATACTTTGTAATTTGTACTAAGTTGAATTTTCAGGCACCCTTATTTGAGCATTTATTTTTCTGACAACTTATCACTTGTACTCCCTACAGTTTAACATACAGTAAATACCTCTACTTTCTACTACTTAAATTTTCAAAACAGGTTCATTACTTTAGGTTGAAGATATCAGAAGGGAGTTATTATTTCCCATCACTGCAAAAACCAACTAATGTGAGCCTAAATGGAGAGCCCATACTCAAGACGAAACTTGCAAATCTACAAGATGCACCATGATGTGTGTCAGAAGTGTCTCTCAACTTTCCATCCCTTGGAATAGCCATGCTTTTCATAGAAGCCACATCAAGCTGCATAGACCATATTTAGAGGTCAAGACGTTAGACAAAGCAAAGGCATAGGGAAGCTGGTCAGTTTTCATTATAAAACACCCGGTGCAGAAATTGCATCAGAAACTGTGTTTCAGGGTTCATGTCAGTTTTTATTATGAACTATAGTAAAAAACATGCTAAGGCTTCTGTATTATCTACAGCTTTTTCTGGCTCTCTAAACTGGTGGCAATCAGGAGATTTGATTTTGTATTAGTAATCAAAAGTTCTTCTGGTGCCCTTGAGTACAGCAAGAACTGAATAGAAATTAAATTTCTGCACATTTGGGATATTTGGAGCAGCATTTTTAAGAAAACATGGTGTTTTATGTTGTTAAGAAACAAATGAGACATACTTACTGTACATGTGTAACCCTCTTCTCCTCTTTGTCTGTAGGGGCACAGGATTTGGCTTCTGTAATGCTATGTGTAAGCTGGCAGCGGTGCTGGGCAACCTGATCTTTGGCTCTCTGGTTGGCATCACCAAGGCCATTCCCATTCTGCTGGCATCATCCGTGTTGGTTGGCGGCGGGCTAGTGGGGCTCCGACTGCCAGACACACGTGCCAATGTCCTCATGTAAACCTCAGCACAGAACAGTATGTTGTTTACCAGGTATTTTCTCAGTTTACTGAATAGCAACATATTTACAGAACGTGATTTGTTAAAATATTTTTGAAATGCGCTTTGCAGTTTGTTTTTTATTTACCTTTTTTCCATACAATATGCGGAATATGTTCACAAACTCAGATTCATGATGAGTTTTATTATTCTGTTATTTCTGAGAGAAATACCTGGTAAATTAGGATAATGAAATGCAGTTTTGCAGAGCAGTAGGTGTACAGAGGAGCTTCTTTTAGAATATCAAATGTTATGCCAGTGGCTTTTTACCAGAGCTATTGGCATTCTTGCTGGAATTTGGAGGAAAAAAAAAGCTTTTCAGAAGCAAGCTAAATTTATCAGCGGTGATTAAAGTCTTTATAACAGCAGCTCACTGTAGCTCAGCACTACAGTGGGCAGTTTCACACATGCAGCCCACAAATGCATGTGCCAAAGCTGCAAAAGGCTTGGGCTTCTAGCAACCTTCTCCTTCCGAGTTCCAATCAGTTGTATGCTGATTAAAGGAAATGTGTGACGTTTTTGTTTACATGTGCATTTGAAGCCACCAGCAGCAGCTCAGGTTTGCCAACTGTCAAGCTTTTGGCATGAGACACTTGCTTTGAGGCTCTACCTTGTGTGGCTCATGCTGGTCAATAATTTGCTTGCCCTTAGTCAGCAAAAGGACACACAGTCCAAAATAACTGAAGACCTTTCATGCACAATGACTGCACAAAATGCTGAGCACAGGAGTTCAGTTTATTGCTTGCAGCTGTTTATAGGAATCTTCCCAGTGACTTTTTGCTTAAATTTGTAAATGTTATATAGCCGAAGGATCCATATGAGCATCTCCAAAAGAGTTAAAGAAAAGAGTTAAAAACATTCATGAACATGACACACAAGTGATAAAGATCTGTCAGCACATTATGCTCTACTTTTTTCCAGACAGGTAATGTCACACACAGTCACAGTTTTCATGCTGTAGTTTAATTACTTGTTTAGCCTTCTCTGTTATAGCCATTAGGACATTTTTAATTTACTGTGTGTACAAGTCTCATCTGTTTTCCAAAGTTTTTATTTTTATTCGTTTATTTATTGTAGATATTGTCCACAGTTGCTTTCTGTAGCAGTCATCTTTTTCATGTATCAATGAGTGACTGTAACTACGTATAGGAGCAGTTACCCTCTTGTAAAGGGTTGGGCAATTAATTTTCGAAAGGGGCCAAATTAGAAATTGAGACTGTTGCGGATGTCTGCCCAATGAGTTTATAAAGATTTAAAATTAAATTGTGAACATAACTGAGTTCAGCTTATTTGTGTAAGCCTCCAAAATAGTCCCCATTTATTTATTGCCCCCTTGGGACAATTATTTGCTCATATCTCATGCTATAGTCATTACAGTAACTATGACCAGTAACAATGAAAACACTTTTAATGGTATAAGGTACAGTTATCATTGGACATGGTTAGGATCTTCAGTGTTCATTATAAAATCATTAAATATCATAAATAAACCTAAAGCAAATTTGTGATCAACATATAGCACCAGGATGGGGAAGGAGGTATTGTTTTGAGTCAAAACTTGAAAGTTGGCAATGTTGGCTTGCTTAAAAAGAAATTATTTATTAAGTATTTATAATTAGACAGGCTGTTTTATTATTTATTTATTAATTTCTGTCTTATTTATTGCTTTACCAATGTGCTTTTCTGTTTTTTGGGTGGTGATTTATTGTGTTTGAACTTTGCTCCTACAATTTTCACTCCATTGATAAAATAGGTTGATGATACTTAAGCCTTTTGCTGCATTTTGCAAAAATGACAAGGCCATAAAAATCAATGATATACATAGTAGTTTAGTCCAAACTGGCAACTTCAGCAGCTACATTTCTAAAGTGAAAAGAAGTTTACATTTTCTGCTTTTTACAGTAAGAGACTTTTTTGGGCCTGGAATCCTTTTGTCTGAATGCTTCCTCTTTGCATCTCTCATGTTGGTATTGCTTAGTTCACCATGAAGGGCTTTGCTCTTTCTTTTAATTTCATCTGCCAAAAACAATTTATACTGTAGGAAACTTCTGTTGGTATCAAATTATGTTTTGAGTCTTTTTCCCCCTCTCTATCTGTCTCATTGTCCTGGTTTCTTCATAGTGTCACTTGGTCTGTCTTGTCACTCTGTTCCTGCCTTGCTGCTGCTCCGTCTGAAACTCAAAGGCCTTTCTCAGATGTTGTGCCTCTCTTACCGTCAAGCCCACCTCTCCTTCCAAACCTTGCTGGAAGCTTTGCTGCTCTATCTTGCTTTTTTCATTCCTATCTCTTGATACTGCAGTGAACACACCTGTGTGTGTGTGTATTTCTCTCTCTCTCTGTATGTACAGCTGTGATCAGAAGGTTGCATACACTCGTCATGGCCACGAATATCATGGTGAATTTGGGCTTTTAATGATTTCTTTGAATGGTTCTTTTTTCAGGGTGGAATGATTGTACCGCACATATCTTCATTTATTTTAAAAATAAGAATTGGCTACACGAGGTGAATTTATTTTATTGTCAAATCCACACAGATTTATTTACACCCCTGAAATTGGTTAAATGACTGTTAACAATTTGTATCTCAATAAACCACTTTAGTAACCATCAACAAGCTTCTGGCATAATTCTAGTTGGACATTTGACCACTGTTCTTAGCAGAAGTGTCAGGGTTCATCTAAACTGGTTAGTTGGGAAGACTATTTCAGAAGAATAGTGTTAGCAAGCTTATACTGTTCCAAAACCAGATTTGATGTGTGTTTGGGGTCATTATGTTGTTGGAACACGTAGTTGTGCCCCAGTTTTAACCACCTAGATATTGATCTCAGCTGTAGTTGAAGAATTTTGAGGTAATCTCTCTTTTTTATTATTTCATCCACTGCTCACTCTATCAGTACACTGGCAGTAAAACCACCCCTGAGGATTATGATGCCACCACCATGCTTGCCATTTGGTACAGTGTTCTTGGGTTTGAAAGCCTTGTGTTTACTGCTCCAAACATACCTCTTGTCATTGTGGCAAAACAGCTCAGTCTTTGTCTCATCTGACCATAAAAATTTCAAGCTTGAAGGTGTCAGTTTTGGTTCAGGGGTTTTCTTTCTTGGTCCACAACCTCTCAGGCCATGGTGATATAAAACTGGCTTCAATGTGGACAGTGATGCAAGTGTTCCAGCAGTTTTGGGTTGATTTCAGACTTCCTGCACATTCTAACTTATTTCTTAACCACAGAAGCTTGTTCGTGGCTAACAAAGGCCTCTAGTTGAGGTATAACTTGCTAAAAAACGTTTAACCAAATATCCAAAACAAATTCAAACTTGTGCACACAATTTTTGTGTTTTAAAGGCCTAAAGAATTGTATGCTGTACAATTATTACATCCTGGTAAAACAAAGACAGTTCAGAGAACTCTTTAAAAGCCCAACAGATGACACTGATGCCTGTGATGACTATATAGAACTTTTTGACTACGACTGTAAGTTTATTGCATGTATATCTAGACTAACATATGTAGACAGATATTTTTTTCTATTTTTTTTCTTAAACCAAGGAACTGAGGTTTTTACATTTTGATTTATATCATGAATTGAAACTAAAAGCCATGTGTAAAAGGCCAAGTCACTCAAATTCTAAAAAAAAGAAGAAAACAAAACAAAAAAAAACAAAAAAATGGTAAGATTGCAAATTCAATTTGTTTCTGATGCTCACTTATTTAAGATTTTAAAGGCTCATAAGCCTTTGCAGCCTTGCACTATCATGCTGGCTAAGCTAGCATGTGCGTTTCCTGTGCTAGCATAAATATTTTGTAGTGCAGTGCAGACAAGTGCAGTCAAGGGTGGTGTCTTTTGGAGGTGAATGTCATAAAAGACAAAAATAACCATCTAGCTAATTAAAGATATGGAGAAAAATAAATGAACTGCTACTTAATAAGTAGGATATATCCTCTGGGGAACATGAACAATGAGATATTTCAGTCTGGACCAAAGAAATCACTTTGATCCAAAGTGGACCAACTTTGGGCCTAACTTTGGTTCACCTCTGGTCATCCCAAAATCAAGCACTGGGGGGAGTCAACAGTAAAGTTTATCCTGAAATGCTAGTTATTTTTGAATAATCCATGGAAGTCGGATTCAACAGTATTTCTTTCCTAATTTGCAAAGGAAACACATGTTATATATTTGGAAATATTTACAAATCACACTTTCCAGCACTGTGAGCACCACAGACAAAACTACAGTGACCTCAGAAAGGGATATCTAATAATAAAAAAAAAAGTTATTTGTAGAACATTATTTTTTGTGACTTATATGCTTGAACAACCTCCTGCTTCAGTGCTAATGAGTTGATGTTAACACACATTAGGTCATTTGTAAAACATAAACTTGTAGTTTGTTCTGCATTAGTTCCATCATACAAAAAATCATTGGAATTTCATAATTTTTGTCAGCTTTGGTGATACTGTTATTGAATGTTATATTATGTTTCTCACATATATCTTAGTTTTGATGGTAAAGGACCTATTATTGACCAATTATTTCCTTTTTCTACCAATATAAATGGACTGCAGCTGTTTCAAGATATGAATCTGCTTTCCTGTGTTTGATGCTTTATCTCTGTCTGTCCTCGGCCTTGCCTTGTGGCTTCTCCTTCGCTCTTCCACTTGTGCTGAACAAACTTGTTATACTGTACATCACAGTTTCCAGACTGAAATCCTGCATGTTTGTTAAGTCCCTCTGTTTTGTGTGCTATATGCCATTTTGGTGTCTTTGCTGTTCCTCTGTGGAGGTTAACAGATGTGATTCCCGGGTTAAAGGTGAATGTATCATTCTCGTGTGTTGTCAGGTTTGTTGTGGACAGGTGTTCCTTAAACTGAATTGTTCTTCTGCGTCATTGTGAAGGGGCATGCTAGTGATGAGATGACTGTATTTACTACAAACTGACCTCCAGCAGGGGTTGTCAGATCTGTTTTTCGGGTGATTTCCAGTTAGATTAGTCATTATTGTCACTGGAGCAGGAATTAAAGTGCCACCATTGAGACTTTCAGATTTGAAAAGCTCTGCTGTCAAACTACATGTGCAGGTGTGTGTGTAAAGATAAAAATCTGACCTTGACATGATTTATTTTGATAAGGCTGATAAAAAGCTCTACTGAATGCAGTGTAAAGGTGGATTCCTCTGGTATCTACATATTGAATAAAGAGTTTCATTTGAGCAGCTGTTGAACTTTCATTTTTACCAACAGATGGTGCCATTCATACTAAATTTACCAAAACATGCAACTCTCTCTGCCTGCCCTTATTCAAAGACAGAGTCAAAGAATCTTTAATAAAGAATAAAGATTAATCTCAGTAAACTGTCTCATCATTAATGTCAATTACAGCCAGAAGTGAGTCATAGACAAAATTTTAACATAGTGCTTTGTTTTTTTACTACCCCAGTGTGACGTGACGCACAGTAGACTTTTCTACACCTCAGTGTCAATTTACTCTACATCCTGTCAAAGGCTGGTTAGGAAATACCAAGTCAGTGGTAGAGAGCAGAGAGAAGTAGAGTAGTTTAATAACGGATGATATCTTTGAAAAGTTCACAGGAAAGCCGGAGATACAGAAATGTATAGAATGTAGTTATATACTACTGTAAAAGTTCAAAAAGGTTATGAAATCTTTTTTTAAGTTTAGATGTATAGTATTCTTACTTGACACATTTATTAATTATATTTATTATTTAATTTAAAAAATAATATACATCCTTTCATCTTCTATGTACATCCATATACTATATACATATACAAATTGACATAAAAACACACAGCTATGTTTTAGCTAAAGCCCATCATGACATTAACTTCCAGCTCAAATCTTCAGGGTAGTTACACAACAGAGAATAGTAGGGAAATTACTGTAAACACTGTAGAGAGAAAAATGAAATTCAGGGAACATGAACATATGTAGATGCATTTTACAGATTACAGTAGCTTTACTAAAATACTATTATAATAGCAACCACATGGCAGACACTAAAACTCATATTAAATGTATCATTGCACTGCATTTTTTTCAAATAACTTGTGAATTACAGTAAGCATAAAATGACCCTACATGCTGTAAATCTTGCTGCCACTACTGTCATTAAACAGGAAAATGTATTATGTATGTATACATTAGTTTTCTTTTTTCTTTTACACTTTCAAGTTTCTTATTGTTTTCTAGTTTTTAAATATAGGAGGTACGTTTTGTGTGTGGGTGTCACAAAAACAGAACCTTTATAATAAAACAACAATTATGACTCATAGAATAAGGTTAATACAACAATGATGAAATCCATTTATAGTTTTAAATGAAAAATATGTGCTTTTGATCTCTCTTTGGATTCCTGCCAAGGAGAACATTTCCCTCATCATCATCCACAAAAATAAGAAATATGATCACTTACTTTTTAACACTGTTAAACAGGTTTCTATTAGAAAGATATGCTCAGCGTCTTGCCTTTGAAAGACATGAAGTAAAGCCTGGAGCTTGCAGATTTGGACATGAGAAGAAAAAGGAAGGGATCCAGACAGGCATGGA